GAAGTGGGAAAACAACCCTCCAGGTTCTGAACCTGAGCCATCATGCCACCTGCCAACCCCCCATCTGACTTTCTTACAACCCTCCAGGTTCTGAATATGAGCCATCGTGCCACCTGCCAACCCCCCATCTGACTTTCTTAAACATCATTTTCATCAATCCTGTCCTCTGTGGGCGTGTAAGTTAGCTGTGATTTGTCCACAGCCTCACGTGTTCCCACCCCTCCTCCCTGGCCTCAGAAAGCCAAGGGCATGAGGGAGGCTGGGCCAGGGCTTCAGCATGGAATGAAGTTGGAAGAAACCCGTGCTGCGCTCATCCCTGAGGCATTGATAAGGAGTAGGTAGCTGCCTTCGGGGAACACTCACCCCGGAGTCCTGAACCAGATGGGATCTGGCTCTGCTCAGACAGCAGGACACCCTGCTTAGAAGTTGGGATCAAAAAAAGGGCCTTAGCAAGAGCTGCCCAGGGTCAGCAGGTGGCGTGGTGATTAAGGAGGAGGGACCACAGACAGAAACCAGCAGTCTGCTGCCGTGAGTCAGCAAAGGCCCATCCAGACAGCGTCATAGTCGAAGCGTGAAGATAAAGGGCAGCATCATTTAGAGAGGAAAAGAAATAGCCCTTCTTCCCACCCGCCTGTGTGTATGTCACTGCTCCCTGATGAATTAGAACAGAGGCCTTTGCCTTCCTGTCCCAACATTCTGACACTCTGGGAGTCCTCGCTCAGGACTCTCCACGCTGCCACTTTGAGACCGCCTTTGAAGCAAGCTGGCAGTCCACTCTGGCCTCCCTTTGGAAGGACCTGAATTTCCTCCAGCTGCCGCTGTTGCTGCCTGGAGCCTGGACTTGGTTCTTTCCTCGCAGTTCACATATTCGTTCCCCACATAAAAACTAATCGATTCCAGCTGTTGGAATGAAGCTGTGGTGGAGCAATGGCAGAATGATAGGTTTTCTGGCCCGAACTGCCTCCAGTGGAGTTGGGAGTTGGTGTTGAGTCATCCTCACTCCCAGTGAACTCGGGCCAAGAACAGCCAGTACCGTGTTGGGTACCCTTCGAAAGGGCGGGATTGTTTTTCTCAGAACCACTGACACTGATCATATAAATCTCAAGATCTGATGAAGTTGAAACGGTATTTCTGAACCTTTTTTTTTTTTTCCCCCTTTGGCAAGTAAATGATTTGAAAGTGAACTTTAAAAAAATTAACTTGCCAAAACTAATGGTAGTGCATGGAAAATTACTGTAGTCTAGGCTGGAAAATTAGACCTCCCTGGGAATCAGACTGCCTTCCGTTTTCTTCGTAGCTTTGCACATTAAAGGCTTTCCAGTTGGGGCAGAGCTTGGAACAGGAGGGGCCTCGACCTCCTGGGACGGGTCTGCATAAATCAATTTCATCTCCTTCCTAAGGTCTTGTAGGCTCCACTTTACAGAGTGGAGACGACACGTAGGGGTCAGCCTGTCAGCTCTCACCAGAAGACTCAACTCCAGAGATGTCCACCTGTCCTTAAGGAGACAGTGGAAAATGTCGCTCCTACTTCTACGCATTAGTCAGACCAAGAGTCTGTAAGATTTTTTTCTTTCTTTTTTTAAGATCCCTGGATCCAATTCAGGACGTTAATTTGGTTTTTGTGTGAACGGGGAAGAGGAGAGGGCCGTGATCGTGGTACAAAGAGGGTGGGTTGATTGTTGCATGTGGGAGCTTGGGAAAGAGCCAGTGTGCACATGTACCCGTGAGACCAGAAGGGTCACTGTGGGTCATCCTGGCTCTGTTAGGAACAGAGAAGAACCTCCTTTTCCTTAGACTTTGTTATTCCTATACGTCACGTTTGGGCAGCTTTGCCCAAACTCTGCCGTCTCATTACCTTCTCATAACTGTCGAGTCATCAGAAAAGTCAGGACATATTTTTGTTTCCTTTTTTTTTTTTTAGAGAGATTTTTGCTGTAGGGTTTGTGCACTTGCTGGAGAGACAAAGACAGACAAAGTGAGAAATCAGCCCCAGGGGCAGTGGCCATGCCACACTCCCTTCTCTTTCTCCTCTCGGGGTCTTGGGCATACACATACATGCCCAGTGTTAATTTCAAGCCACCAGGTCTGGGACTCGAACCACAGTCAACCACTCGGGAGTTCAGCACCTTAATCACTACTTCACCTGCTGGCCCGTGACATTTTTTCCTATGGAAAATGCATCATGATTTTTCCAACAACCTAATCAGAAGGTGAGAAATACCAGGTCATTGAGGAAGTCCTGATGTGTTTTTCTGTGCGAAAATGCATTGTGGCCATGCCTACACCCGGAGGGTTTCATGGAGTGTACTGCTGTAAGCTGTCAAAGTGCAGCTTTCAAGCTTTATTCTTAGAAGTATTTTATTCCTGGGACTAGCAGTTAGCATAATGGCTATGTCTCTGGACTCCCATGTAGTCGACCATGGTTTGTGTCCCGGACCCGGTGGCTTAAAACTCACGCCGGGCACGTGTGTGTGCGTGCCCAAGATCCTGAGAGGAGAATGGAGGAGAAGGGACTGAGGCGTGACCATCCCCCCTGGGGGTGATTTCTCGCTTTCTGTCCCTCTGTCTGTGTGGCTAGCACATGTGCCCTATAGCAAAAACCTCTCCAAAATAAAAAAAAAGAAGCTCTTTATTCCTAAAGGCTTGCCTTGTGGACTGTATCTATCCAAGACCGAGCACCAGAGCCCTTTCAAGACGCAGCTTTGGTGCTGAATCCCATTATATAAAATGCCCCCAAAGGTCCAGTGACTAGCTCCGAATCCTGTAGAACCACCGAGGGGTGTGGTCCGAGAGCAGCCTCCCCCGGCTGGGTGCACCACGGACCCCCTCGTCCCTGAGGCCCTCCTGACTGGTCACTCCTGCATAGTCACGATTCTCTCTTCTCCTTCCCCATTTCCGATTTCCAGAGGTTCTAGCAGTTCTGCTCGCGGACATTTTAGTCTTCCTTCAAGAAAAAGATCAGAAGTACGTCTTTGCGTCATTGGTAAGCTATATTGTTACTTTCTGTTTGGAAATCCTAGTATTCAAGATAGCGAGGTTAGGTACAGAGTTTATAAATGTGATGTTACTGCTCTTTGACACTTGCAAATCTAGTTGGCTTAGGAGAAAGTCCTCTGAGTTTTTCTTTGATTTCTCACAATTTTCTGTTATTTTTCCCAAATCCTCTCCTCCCAGAATGATTTTTGTGTCCCCTCACAATCCTGCAAGTACCTCATTGACACGGGTGTGCTTCCCCCCACATGCAGTCTTCTAAAACGTGCTCACAGATAACATTGTTAACCAGGTTCTGTAGGGAACTAGAGAGGGTTCCTCTTATAGAAAACATGACTGGAATCTTTACAGCGGTAAATTATTGTTTTTCTTTGTAAATCATTTTCTTTTTGTTAAAATTGGAATGAAATAATGAGGTATTTCTTTTATCCTAAAACTACCGTTGTTTTTTAAACCATACACTCTTTTTTTTTTTTTTTTTTTAAGAGATTTTTGGCTTAGGGTGACTTGCCCGGGGGAAAGAGACAGACAGACAGAGACGATGAGAGGAGAAGTGAGAAATCACTCCCCTGGGGGATGGCCATGCTGCAATCCTTCCCCTTCATTCTCCTCTCAGGATCTCGGGCACACAATGCATACACAGCCAGTCCAGTTTTCAAGCCACCGGATCCAGAACTTGAACTGTCTTTAGCGTTTGGGAGTCCAGCGACATAACTGCTACGCCATCTGCTGTCTAAACCATACACTTTCAAAGCAACATCTGGTCTTGGGACCAGCAGATAGCATAATGGTTATGTCGCTGGATCCCACATAGTTGACCACAGTTTGAGTCCCAGACTCTGCAGCTTAAAACTCACACTGGGCATGTGTGTGTGTGTGTGTGTGTGTGTGTGTGTGTATGCCCCAAATCCAGAGAAGAGACTGAAAGAGAAGGGATTATGATATGGCCATCCCCCCGGGGGATGACTTCTCGCTTTCTGTCTCTGTCTGTTCAGAGAGCACAGGCACCCTATAGCAAAAATATCTCTCTTTAAAAAAAAAAAAAAAAAAAAAATCTAGTGTTACCTTAGGTCATAGTTGTCCTAAGAGTTTGAATATTGTTTACATTTCTCATATTTGCCCTCTCCCCTTTTTCCAGGACCAGAAATCAACAGTAATCTCTTTAAAGAAGCTCATCGTCAGAGAAGTGGCTCATGAAGAGAAAGGTTTATTCCTGATCAGTATGGGTGTGAAAGACCCAGAGATGGTGGAAGTCCACGCCAGCTCCAAAGAGGAACGCAACAGCTGGATTCAGATCATTCAGGATACAATCAACACCCTGTAAGCAGACACAGGCCTGCCCTCCCGGCCCTCCAAATGCATCTGTGATTTCATAATGGGCTGGGCAGTGACCAGAGCAGTCGCCCTCTTAGGGACTTTCTGTTTTGTCTTGGTTGTATTAGGAACAGAGATGAAGATGAAGGAATTCCTAGTGAGAATGAGGAAGAGAAGAAAATGTTAGACATCAAAGCCCGAGAATTAAAAGGTGAGCTAAAGTTGGACGTGGTCTGAGCCCCTGGGCTGTGGAACATCGGAGGTTGCAGAAGGACTCTAGTGGTTTCCTGAGGAACTGGCTCTTCCTTCGTCCCAGAGCCATCCCAGCAGGTGTGTGGAGAGGGGGCCGAGGAGCTTTTAGGAACAGAGAGACCAAGTCCATGCTGGCGTGGGCCCTGGGAAAGGATGGCTCTAAGAATGTGTCCAGTACTAGACCGGGGAAGAGTGGTTTTCTTCTCTTCGGCATCAGCGTTCTTGGACCCTGTTGACCTTCTTTGTACTTCGTCACAATAGCTTTAGCCAAAATTCGTAGGTACATCTAAGATTAAAACAAGTAAAAGTAAACGAGGGAAATAATTTTCTGTTTAATCTCTTTGAATCCTGAAAGCAGTCAGTTCTCAGGTTCTCACCTACCCATGCATTCACGTGAGAGTCGTGAGGTGGTTTCTGGAGAAGGCTCCCTGTGTTACTAAACACCTGTCATCCTGTCCCCATTCCTAC